ATTCTTTAAGAAGAGGAAGAAGAAAAAGTAAAGATAAAAATTGTCAACAACAAATACATATCTTTCAACAAGTGAACCCAAAAATAAAGTGAATTAAAAATTTGAGGAACAGAATAAACTGGTGAATATAATAGAATCAGAGGCATAGAAAGGGAATGGACTGATAATTCTCAGAAAGGGGGATGGGAAGTGCAGGAAGAGACTGGACAAAAATCGTACACCTATGGATGAAGACAGTGTGGGGGAGGTAAGGGCAGAGGGTGGCGTGAGAACTGGGTAGAGGGGAGATATGAGGGAGAAAATGGAGAAACAATTGTAATAATCTGAATAATAAAGATTTATTAAATTTAAAAAAAAGAAAGACCATATACCATGACCAAGTGGATTTATTCAGGGGATGCAAGGATGGTACAATATTCGCAAATCAATAAACATGATACATCACATAAACAAATTGAGAGATAAAAACCACATAATCATATCAATTGATGCAGAAAAAGCATTTGACAAAATCCAACACCCTTTCTTGTTAAAATCTCTCAGCAAAGTGGTACTTGAGGGATCATATCTCAACATAATAAAAGCCTTGTATGACAAACCTATAGTCAACATCATACTCAATGGGCAAAAACTAAAACCATTTCCTCTAAGAACAGGAACAAGACAGGGATTCCCACTTGCACCACTCCTATTTGACATAGTATTGGACATGTTAGCTACAGCGATCAGACAAGAAGAAGATATAAAAAGTATCCAAATTAGAAAAGAAGAAGAAAAATTGTCATTATTCACAGATGACTTGATGATATACATAGAAAAACTTAAGGACTACATCAAAAAACGACCAGACTTAAAAATGAATTTGGCAGTCTAGTAGGATATATTTCTTTATATCAGCAACAGACAATTAAAACTAAAACAGTAAAAAAAAAAAATACTGTTTTACAATATTATTTTAAAAAATGACCCAGGGATAAATATAGCAAGAAATATCCAAGTCCTTATTCTGCAGCTACAAAATATTGCTGAAAAATTAAAGACCTAAATAAATGGAGAGAATATATCATGTTCATGAATTAGAGGACTCCATATTATAAAAATGTCATTTTATTATTTCCACGTTGATGTATAGAATCGGCTTTAAGGCAATAATCATAATATGGTAGTAGCAATTGTGATAGATATAGGTCATTGATACAGAATACAGATTCTAGAAATATATATACATATATACACACACATACACCTGGTCAATCAGTTTTGAAATAGATACTCTGCAACAAATGCAACTGGCACATATGTATATCCAAATGCCAAAAAAGAACAACTTTAATCCTTATATCATATACAAAAATTAGCCCCAATTAATTCATGTAAGGGGTTAAAACTATAAAATTTATTACAAAATATCTGTGACTTTGATTAGGCACAGTTTTCTTTGTTTTTGCTTTTAGATAGGATGCCCAAAGCACAAACCATAAAAGAAAAATTGAAATATTGAACTTCATAGAAATTCTACACTGCTCTCTGAAAGACATTCTTAAGAAAATGAAATGAAAAGCTAAAGACTGGAAGAAAATATTTACAAAACACTCACCTTTTAAAGGACTTGTATCCAGAATATTTAGAGGACTCTTAAAATTTAATCTTAAGCCAAACAACCCTATAAAAAGGAGGGAAAGATTCTAACAGACACTTATATCAGATTCGTGCACTGGTGGGGTCCTTCGGTCTGGTCTGCAGAGATCAGGCTGAAATCGGCCCTCTGACATTTTCCAAGGGGCCCTGAATTGCAAGAGGGCAGTTCTCGGGTGATGATGCATCCTGGAATCAGGCTCACGCCTCTCTGGTTCCAGGTGCATCACCCAAGAACCGTAGCTGCCAAGTCACCACAGCTTGGCAGCTCCTGCCTTGAACATCTGCACCATAATTGTCAGTGCAAGTCATAGCTATTGGTTGGAGTGCCTGCCTCCTGGTGGTCATTGCATGTCATAGCTACTGGTCAAATAGTTGGAGATATATATAGAGATATATATGTATGTAAAATCTCCATCATAGTATTTGGCTCATTGTTGACTGCCATGTTTTGTGGAGCATGACAGTATTTATGACTTTTAAATAATTGTTGGTGTTATCTTACTGATATTTTTCATTAAATTTGTGTATTTGAACAGCAAGATATGCTACATCTTTGAATATGTGAGATTAGAATGTTATAGAGGGAAAAGCACTGGAGCTTTACCTTGTAGTCTTTGCCATTACGTCACTATTTGTTCTTGGGTTAATCAAATTACTTGTTTTTGGGTTAATCATATCCCAAATGGTTTTTAAACAGCTTCTGAGATGGGTTCTTTCTAATCCGGAAACATGTAATATACCTTCTCTGATACAAAATCTTAAACTGATTTTTTTCTCAAAAGAATAGCTTTTACAGTTGAAACAATATTTGTAGGGGCTGTTGGCTTATAATGCTTAAAATGAGGAAATGCATAGAGGCAGTAAAATATTTCTGACATGACAAAAATGTTATTGGAATTAAGAGGGAAGAAATTTGTTTTTGAGAATTATGCTTGGGATTATCAAAAAATTCCCATGATAATTTTTTGTACATTTGTTTCTTATAAGTGGCAGGTTTGATTTCCTTATTGTGTCTGAGAGAGGCTGCCTCATTTTCTTTTGGGGGCAGTTTTAACCTTTTAGTGTCACCTTATGTTTTTTAAGTTTAAAAAATGGTAATAGGTGGCATTGATATGAAATGTTTTCTTAGTTAAAAAAAAGTTAATGTGGAATTTTAGGCCCAGAGAGTGCCTATAATTGGCTTCAAGTAGTCATCATGTAGTGATGGTACTGACATGATGCTTTTATCCTAGTGATCATAACGTTGTAACAGTGTGATGTGTTCTGCTTGGAAAATATTAGTACATCTCAAGTATAGAATTCTTTACAATCCTCCATGTTCAGTTTTCTACAAATAATAAAGATTTATTACTATAAGCTTAAGTCACAGATTTCTTCAATATGATTTTAAAAGAAGGTAATAAATTCTATAGACAATGTATTTATTAAAGTATTCATTAAATCTGAAGGAAAATAAAGGTACATAAAATTATTTTCTGTCACTTAAATGACAGATAAAGTATTTGTAAATTTGTTTTCAATTTATTGGAGTGTAGTAGACTAAACAGAACGACCTTTTGCTACTTATTTCTCCATTGGGCAGGCCAAAATCAGTTTAGAGTAATTGCTGAGTAAGAATTGAGGTAGGTTTTTTTTTCTTTCCTCCTTTTTTTTTCCCCTCAGTTTTTTTTTCTTTTAAAAATGGAAAGTTCTTGAGAAAGGTTGCTGTTAAAAACAAAAAAGTAAAGACATTATACCAGTAACATTTGAAATACCCATGTTAATCTATAAAATAAATTGTTATATGTAATAATTTAGGATTCATGGGAATATAAAACTGCGTGAATGTAAAAATATTGTAATTTCCAATGTAAAGGTAAGCAAAATACAGTTAATATGCCTAGTAATGTTCTAATAATGCTTTAATGAGTTACATCTTTGTTGGTTAGTTTTTCCTGAATGTTCAAACCAGGGCAAACATTGGGATTTTTGTTTGTAATAACTCTGTATGAGAAATTAAAATTTATAAGAATTTCTGTTTCTGCCCTCAAAGGGTCAGAGGACTAATTTGGATGCAGGAGCTGCAGAGAGATGTGCAGATTCCTCCTCTTTGTTTGAGGTTTAGAGATGCCCAGATAAGGCCCACTTGTGAAGCAATGCCAGCTGCTGTGGAGCCTTGGGCCTTCTTTTGGCAGCTCTGGGGTTCTCTGACCTAGCTGCAGTTTGTTAGGTTTAGATTGCAAAAGGCTAGGCCATTCATATGCAAAAGTCTCTGCCCACACCTTGGGTAGGGTTGTAAATTGGGTGGGGCAGCGTCTCAGGGAATCCCCAGAGTGGAGCAAACAGCAATGGCTGCTCATCCGGTACCTAGGTCTCTATGTCCCGCAGCACCATGCAGGAACAATGATCTCTGCTGCCACTTCGGAGAGAAATCCCCCTTCCTGTTCTGGCCAGATGCCAGACAGTCCAGTTTTTCCTCATATGACTCTGGGTCCCCGGAGTCTCGCCCCAAACTGGAGTTCAGAGCAGTCGGGAGCTTGTATCCCCACGCGCCCCCCCCCCCCCATTGAAAAAGACAACCCAACCACTGAGCCACACCAGCCAGGCTCAGCTATTTTTTATTGGTGTTATTTCCTATCATCCTTGGACCCTAAGAGGTAGAGAATATAGGCATAATTATTCCCTCTTTTATAGATGCAAAAACTAAGAATAGACAAGTTATTCGATTTTTTTCAAGATGAAACTTCAACCCAAATATTCTTTCAGAAATTTGCTTTTCCTATAATGATTCAGGTTTTATTTATTTTATTTTATTTTTAAAATATATTTCTTTATTGATTTCAGAGAGGAAGGAAGAAGGAGAGAGAGATAGAAACATCAATGATGAGGAGGCAGTAGGCTGCCTCCTGCACGCACCCTACTGGTGATCAAGCCTGCAATCCAGGCTTGTGCCCTTGGCTGGAATAGGGACCCTTCAGTCCTCTCTATCCATTGAACCCAGCTGGCTAGGGCAATGACTTGGGTTTTATACTCTCCCTGCTACTCCTCCCATATGCTGAGCATAAATCAGTATTGTCAGTTCATTGGTTTAAAGTAGATTGTTTCCCTTCAAACCTCTAATCACTGATGTCGATATCTTTAAAAAAAGATAAGCAATTAATTAACCACTTAATTGGTTAATTGTGGAGTCTTTTCTCTTAACTGATATTGAAGCCTGAGTTCTTCAAAGGGCTACATGTTGTTTGATCCAAATTTGAAGCATGGATTATTGAAATTTTTGTTATTCACTCATCAGATATGTCTAACATGAATGCTAGCCCTGGATATGACCAAGTGTTGATTACATTAATTTGTTAGTAATATTCAGTCTCTTCTTTATACAGGAGAGATTAAACAGATTCTAGAAAATGAACTCCAGATACCTGTGTCTAAAATGCTGTTAAAAGGCTGGAAGACTGGAGATGTGGAAGACAGTGTGAGTTCTTATTTATTTATTTATTTATTTATTTGTTATTTTTGAATTACAGTTCACATTACATGTCATTCTGTAATAATTTTAAGTATACAGCATTATAGTTATTATATCTTTTATTAAGTGGTCCCATGATATTTCAAGTATCTACCTGGCCCCATTCAGTGTAAGTTTCTTAAATTGCCAGTTACATAGTTGACTAAATAATGTATAAAATATGGTATTTATTAATATTATTACATAAGAAGTAGATTTGGTAATAACTTAGTTTAAGAAATTCGCAAACAATGTTTTTCAAGCTAGTACATTTTTATAGTAAACCAACAGTTTTAACGGAGTTCAGTATATAAATGAAACACAATGTGGCATGCTTTTCTCATTTTTTTAAAAAAATTTCTTTATTGATTTTTTACAGAGAGGAAGGGAGAGGGATAGAGAGTTAGAAACATCGATGAGACAGAAACATCAATCAGCTGCCTCCTAAACACCCCCCACTGGGGATGTGCCCGCACCCAAGGCACATGCCCCTGACCGGAATTAAACCTGGGATCCTTTAGGCCAATGACTGATGCTCTATCCATTGAGCCAATCCTGTTAGGGCTATTTTTCTCATTTCTAAATATTTTGTAACAGTTAGTTTGATACTTTTTTTTTGAGAATCTTTACCTTTATCTCAAATCTCATAGGGTGCTCTGAAATAATAATTTACTGAACAATTACGTATTGGCCTGAAAGAAGTCACATTGGTGTTTATATGTATGCCAAGTATTGATTATAAAACAAAGTAATAGGAATTGTGAAAATTTTAAATGGTAGGAATATTTATTTATTTTTTGTTATTTACTTAGATAGTGGTGGGGGAAAGGAATGAATGGTATTTAAAGATTTCTAAAAAATGTTGCAATTGCCCTAGCTGGTGTGAGTCAGTTGGTTGGGCATTGTCCCATGCACTGAATGAGTGCTGGTTTGATTCCAAGTCAGGGCACATGTCCAGATTGCTCGTTTGATTCCTGGTAAGGGGGCATGTTAGAGGCAGCCGATGATCAGTGTTTCTCTCTCTTCCTCTATCTTCCCCTCTCTCTTAAAATCAGTAAAAACATATATTTTTAAAATGTATATTTAAAAATTTTAATGTAGTAGTTGCTATTCTTAAAGATCCAGTAGCAGCCTTAGGCATAAAATATTTCACACACTTTTTTCTAATAGAAAGAATGGAGAGGGATTGAAAGAAATGAGTTAACCTTGAAGTTTTAGATACTTAAACTGGAAATAATTGTCCACTTTTCAAACAATTTACTGAGCTGATATTTCAGTATCCAGGCACAAACATACAATCTTCAACTTTTGATTCATTTCTTGTCAATGGCTTCTGATAGACATTGTGGTTATAAATATTCATATACGAGTTCACTTGATATATGGAGATGTTGCATATTTCAAGATATTTATAGGAATTTCATGTTGGCAATATATTTATAAATTTAGCTACCAAGTTAGTAATATATATTAGGGGTCAGCAAACTTTTTCTGTACCATCAGGTAGTAAATATTTTAGGCACGATTGTGTTCTAATAAGTATTTATAGACACAGAAATTTGAAATTTATATAACTTCACATGTCATGAAATACTCTTCTTTTGAATTTTCTTCAACCGTTTAAAAACGTAAAAACCATTCTTAACTCACTGGTCATACAAAAACAAGCAGTGGGCCAGATTTGTCTCAGAGGCCATTCTTTCACTGTGGTGCTGTGTGACTATTCTAATTGAAACATATATTAAAAAAAATAAAGTGTTGACTGAGATGTGGAAACAATTAGGCAAAAATAAAATGACAACTGCATTACTTTACACAGCTATATCATTTATTCATTTATTTATTAATCAGTCTTGCATGGTATTTTTAGTAGTGTGTGAAGAGAAAGGCAATCATTTTGCAAATGTTCTTAAAACTATGTGTTCTCATATTTGAACATAGTCTTTGTTACCCATAAAATTTTCATTTACTTATGTCTATGTACGCTTTTCACTAGGTGATTTCTGCTATTCCTATGACATTATTTTTCTAATTGCTCCCAAATTTTTATTTCCAGGTTATACTTCTATGAATTTCCATATCCAAATTGGTAATTCATTCTTTTACTTACATACTTTATTGACATCTTTAACTTAACATGTTTAAAATGGTGCTCTTAATTTTCCTTCCCTGCCATTTCTTCAACTGTCTTCTCCAATAACTGGTAGCACTATATAGCCGCTGTTAAATAAAAAAAAAGTTTGGGCATCAGTCTTTTTCCATTTAAAACAACACCTAATCCTTTGGTATGTCCTGTAGAATCTATCTCCAAAATATATCTTAATCATGGGCACTTTCTAGTATTTTTATTGCACTTAATAATCCAGGCCATTACCATCTCTTGCCAAGATCAATGTAATAGCTTCATCATTGTCTTCCCAGCTTCCTTTCTTGTATTCTTCCAGTGTACTAGTATTCTTCCCTCAGTAGCCAGCCAGAATGGTCTTTTAAAAACATAAATTGAATTATATAACTCTCCAGTTATAACATTGCTTCTTATTGCTCTTTGAATAAAATTTCAGCTACTCGCCCTAGTTTGTATTGCCCTGGCCAGTGTGGCTCATCCTGTGAACTGAAAGTTCACCCATCAGGGTGCAAATAGGAGTCAACCCATCGATGTTTCTGCCTTGCACTGATATTTCTCTCTCCCTCTCCCTTACTCTCTCTCTCTAAAATCAATAAAAATATATTTGTTTTAAAAACACATGTTGTTATTTACCTTCTCTTCACCACTATAACTTCATCTTTACCCTATCCTACCATCACTTTTCATGCTACAGTGATGTAAACTTCCTTTTAATTCTTCTAATAGGTTTAAACTCTTTATATCTTTACCTGACAGATGCTATTCAGCTGCCTGGAATGCTTTACCCTTAATTCTTCACATGATGGCTCTCTTTCACACTTCAAGTCTCAGCCTAAATATTACTTTATTTAACAGAGTTTTTTATACAATGTGGCTTTCATCTCAGCATTCTTCATCACAATCTCATGAGCAGAGGGGCCATGTCTGTTTCTTTCATTTTGTATTTCCAGTGAAATACAAATTTATTATTATACTATATAATAAATATCAAATGTTCATGGAATAAACGAATAAATAACTTAAAGAGAGTATCCATTTACTTAGTCATACCATATATGGTTTGAGGGGGAAGATTTAGTGGAAAATTTTTGGATGATGTCATGGTAAAAGGATAATAATAACTTGGTTTAATCTAATCATTTTTCAATAACCACAAAATAAAATAATGAAAGTTAAGGTAAAAATAACTTTCCTATGTTTATTTGTATGTTTTTTGTTTGTTTGCATGTTAACTATTAGCAAAAACAGGTCAGTTTCAAAAGGACTTACACATATTTGACATAAAGACCAGAACTTAATTTAATTAAGGCAGAGCTTTTTTTTCAATCCATGGCGGGATGTAAAGTTAATTGAGTGGTTTATAACCAGAGGGGGGGGGGAAGAATAGAAGTTGTCAGAGTGTATTGCAAATAATAAGATTATTTCTTTTTGTTTAACATAATTATTATGAGTCAAGAGTAAATCCCATTGCGTTTGGAGTAGGTCTGTGCACTTAGTAAGAAGGGCCCTCTTGTGGAGAGGTGAAGAATGAGTTCCTTATGTTTTATGCCTGGCTAAGATCAGCTTTCCCCAGGTTTCTCTACTTCCATCTGCAAGGTTAAGAGGAATTCCTAGACATCAACTCTATCATACTTTTCAACGCGTTCAGCCTTGAGATTATTATTTGTTCTGATTCAATCAGGACCAATTTCATTATGCCTTTTCCCACTGTTTATGTCAGTTACTACTGCAAGGATCCCATGTCACCCCTCACTCAGATCTCCAGTCTCTGCACAGCCCATGTCTCTCTATTCTTTGTCCTATTAATTGGCTAAGACCTGTGCACTATGACCTGTGGAACTAACACATGATTAGCGAAATTCCTCATTGTCAACCTCTTTTCTAAACTTTCCCTTCTCCATCTTTCTCTGACTGAAATCTATAGTCCTGAGGACACTGTCTCTCTGTAGCATTCTCAGTGTTTGTTGATTTTCTTTAATATAAATTATACCACTGGATTAACTGGTAAAATATATAGTAGTCCCTCCTTATTAGTGGTTTTGTTTTCTGTAATTTCAATTACCCAGAGTGAGCCGTGGTCCAAAGATATTAACAGAAAATTCCAGAAATAAAAAATTCCTATCTATGTATGTATAGGAAAAAACATAGTACATTTAGGGTTTGTAGTCTCTGCAGTTTTAGACATTCACTGGGGGTTTTGGAACCTATCCCCCATGGATAAGCAGAAACTACTATATGTCCTCATTTTCCTCATTTCCACTTTCACACCTTTATTACTACTTCCTCTTTAAAAAGTTCCAGCTTTGGCCGAGACAGGTTTGGCTCAATCGGCTTGGGGACTGAAGGGTCCCGGGTTTGATTCCCATCAAGGGCATGTACCTTGGTTGTGGGCATATCCCCAGTATGTTTCTAATTCTCTCTCTCTCTCTCTTCCTCTCTGTAAAGAATCAATAAAATATATTTTTAAAAAAAGTTTCAGTTTTGAATTTCATGTCAAAAGATTATATCACCTACTTGTTGAGACCATCTCCCTCATTTTCTGTTGAATTTTAATTTCTGTCCTAATTCTTAGTAATTTAAATATCTTTGTAAATGATTCTTCTAACACCTTGGTTTCCTAGTTCCTTGAACTTCTTTTCTATAAAGATCTTTTTATTTATCCTATATCAGCCATATGTTTCCATGGGCTTATCATTTAATTACAACAATTCTCAAATCTTAATTTCAAGCTTCCATTTCCTTCTCACTCTTAATGTCCATAGCTCACTTCCTTTAGTATCCTAACACCAACAATCCTTCAACCTCATTCATATTTCCAATTCATTGTTTGTACTATCTTTACATGATCATTATATTTTTCATGACCTCTCCTTTTTTACAATGGGTTAAATCCCATGATCAGTCTTATAATCACTTGCTTATAGGTCCTTGCTTCAAGGATCTTGCTTGACAAAATCCAACATTTTCTGTTCTATGTCTGATAAATAAATGTGACTGGAGATAATCATCATTCTGATTAATGTATCTTTAAATTTATGACTTTGATCTTCAGAGGGCCCCTTAATGCTGCTTGCTAGGCAATCTTAGTATATTCTCCTAAATGACTATTTTCTCTCCAGACCTTTAAACACCTTTCTCCCATTCCCACTCTCCCATTCTCACTTTCTATTTTCTGAAATAAAAAATAAAGGCAATTTCAAGAGAATTTTCACAAGCTCCCAACTTGGTGTTTGTTTACTTACTTTTTTCAGTGATTTTCAACTTTTTTCATCTTATGGAACATATAAACTAATTGCCAAAATTCTGCAGCACACACACAAAAAATATTTTTGACCAATCTAACAAAAAATAAGGTATAATTTTGATTTATAGAAATAAATAGTAATAGTAATAGTAATTACTTACCTTTTTTGCTACAAAGTGACTTTTTAAAGAATCAGGTGCCTATACTTTTATATAAGGATTTCTGATACCAAGAATTAATCAATCAGACACAACCATATTATATGGACATGACCAATAAAATATAACTCTATTATATGACCTACATATTTATGGTTCAAGACGGGACATTCATACTGGATGGCTATTGTTGTGTTAGCTATTGTCATTTAAAAAAATATATATATTTATTTATTTATTGTTTGATTCCAAAGAGGAAGGAAGAGGGAGAGATAAATAGAAACAGAATAATTTATCTGCTGCCTCCTGCATGCCTCACACTGGGAATCAAGCCCACAATCTGAGCATATGCCCTGACTGGAATTGAACCATGACCTCCTGGTTCATGGGCTGACACTCAATCACTGAGCCACACAAGCCGGGCTGTTGTCATTTTCTTATTTGGTAATCTAAGATGTCAGTGCCCCTGACTAAATAAGTCAGGTATTGCATGTTTTAAAAATTCTTGCAGTACACCACTTGAAAATTACTGCTCAACATGTCCTGTCCAATTTCTGATAACATTCCGTATCCCTTCTGGCCTATTCAAGGACTTCACTCTTCCCTGTCTTTCCTGCATTATCAATATTTTCCTGCACAATTATTCAAACATGATGTTATTGCTTCTATTTTTCTCTTGATCCCATCTCTCCTTTCAGAAATCACTTTATTTCTCTAGTCCCCTTGATAACAAAACTTTCCCCAAAGAATTGTCTATATTTGTTGTTTCTAATTCCTTTTTTTCTCATTTCTCTTGAGCCCAGTCACAGCAGATAACTGCTAGTGCTCTTGTCAGTATCACCAGTGATCACACTCCTAAATTCAGTGGTGATCTTATCCAGTGTCATAGTTTTTAAGTATCATCCATATGCACTATCAGTTTGATATCTCTAATTTATATCTCCATTCTAAACCTATTCTCTGAATTCCAGGTTGATATATTCAGCTGCTTACTTATCTTCTCCACTTGAATGTCTTAATATAAATTTCAAACCTCTAGGCCCTAAAGTGAAGTCCTCTGATACAGTCTTTCCCATTTCAATTGATGACAACTTTTTTCTTCCAATATATCATTCTAATATCTTTTAGTTCATTATTGATTCCTTTCTGTCATAACCCATTTCCAGTTTGTCAGGAAATCCTTTTGTTGCTATCTTCAAAATATATCCAGAATCCAACTATCTTGTATCATTTCTACTACATCACACTGGCATCAGCCAACATCAGCCTTATCTTAGTACTAGAGGACCAGTACATGACATTCGTGTACTGGGGAGGAGAAGGTGGTCCCTTAGCCCGGCCTGTGCCCTCTCCAGTCTGGCTGGGACCCCTTGGGGGATGTCCGCCTGCCACAGAGGCTCGAGAGGCTCCTGCCACTGCTGCTGTGCTCGCCAGCAGTGAGCCTGGCTCAGCAGCGCTCCCCCTGTGGGAGCACACTGACCACCAGGGGGTAGATTCTGCATTGAGTGTCGATTTGCATTTTAGGGTTTTATTATATAGGATAGCTTCCTCTGTGCTTCTGCCCTCCTCTTTCAATATCCTTTCCATCTACTTTTCAACATAGCTGACAATGTTGATCCTTACTCGAGAATATTTTTCCTTTGATTTTTAGAAAAAGTAGAAGGAAGGGGGGAAAGACACACTCAGAGAGAAACATCGATATGATATATCGAATATTTGCCTCCCGCATGCACTTCTACTAGGGCCAGGGATTGAGCCTGCAACCGAATTACATGCCCGTGAATGGAATTGAATCTGAGACTCTTCAGTCTGTGGCTGACACTCTATCCACTGAGCCACACCAGCTTTGGCAAAGTGATCCTTTTTAAACATGATTCAATCATATCACTTCAATAGCTTCCCATCTTATTCAGAGTAAAAGTCAGAACCCTTACTTGAGCCTAAATGGCTCAACACATTTCCTGTACCTAAGTCTGTTATTTCTCTGACAGTGCTCATTTGGCTTCAGTTACTTGTTCTTTACTAAGCATTTTGGCCAGCTGTTGCCTTTGCCTGAAGTATTTTTCTCTATATTCTCATGGTTCCCTAAATACCTTCAGGTTTTTACTCAAATGAGAAGGTCTCTGATCACTCAGTTCAAAGTTACATAACCTCCCATCCCCATATTCTTCACCCCTCTTTCCCTACTTTGTGTTTAACAGAAAAAAAAAAAAAGATCACTTTCTAATACTCAATTATATAAGTTAGTATTTTATTTATTCCTATTAAAGCAGGAGTGGAGAATGTCTGTTCTATGGGCCATAAAAGGGCCACAAAATCATTTTGTCCGGCCCTGCCAGTGCATTAGGGGGTGAGTTAATTAAATGTTTGACCAAATATAGTAGGCTGTATTTTTAAGTTGAGAATTTTATATGGCCTGCAAATGAGGTCGTAAATATCCAAATGGCCCTTGGCAGAAAAAAAGATTCACTGCCCCTTTATTAAAGTGTAAGCTCTCTAAGATCAGGGGTGTTAGACTGTTCTATCCACTGCTGTATTCTCAATGTTTAGAATAGGTGTGGCACAGAGTAGGCAACTCAGTAATATCTGTTGAATAAATGTATGTCCCGGGTTATGATGTAAAGATGTAAAATGTGTTTCTTAATTGTATTGCTGTCAAAAATGTTTGAAGTACATTAGCAGGTATTTGTCATCAAGATGTGAGTTTGAAAGGTATGCAGTTTTATGGCAAAGAAATTTAGTGAAATTTTGTATGATTATCAAGATAGTAGGTGAAAGGTAGCCCAAGAACAATTTATTATTTCAGAGTGCTTTAACCAAAACTCTCTGAAGTAAGAGTTAAGAGAACTAAGTGACATAAATAACACTTAATAAAGGATTTCATCCAAGTCATGTCACCTCTCAGGCTGCGGCTCCTCAGGTTGATTTTTTCTCATTTTTTCTAGGCCTAATCATCTCGAAAACCTACACTGCTAATCTTTGCTGTAAAGATCCAGGAATGAAATGCATATTAATTGCAAGGATATACTTCTTTAATGAAGATATCAATGAGCTTAACTGTGTTCTTATCTATTTATATCACTTCATGAGTTAAGAATTTGTATTTTATTTAACGTTCATATTCATGCTAATTTATGATATGCATGGGAAGAACAAGGTTATTTGGGTTCAGTAGTTCTGCGTTATCCTATTAGGAAATTGTCAAAAGAAGAAAAGTCAAACTACAATATTGACAGTTTTTCAAGAACTATAGGAAAAAATTAACACTGCACAATTAACAGGTATTTTTCCTTTTTCTTTTTTCAGACGGTCTTAAAATCGCTACATTTGCCAAAAAACAACTGTCTCTATGTTCTTACACCAGACTTACCACCACCTTCATCATCTAGTCATTCTAGGTAAGGTGTTTACTTTTTTTGTTAATCTGAAATGAAAAGTTGATTGTTAATATTGCTTTAAGCTATATATAAATATCAAAATCAAATAAAAATCTTGTTGAATCATTAACTTACTAACAGTGATTAACTATATAAAATTTTAAATTATATGGTTTAGATAGTTTATTTGATTTTGGTGGCACTTTTTCCCCAAAGAAAATCTTTAGCAAAACTTCATTATGCAAAAAAGTAAAAAATGTTATTTATCTGTTTGAAGGGGTGGGGGTGGGGAAAGAACTAAAGTTAGAGGGAAGAGAATAAGTAAATGGAATTCCAGCCTATCCCATAGCTAAAAAAGGCAAACCTTTGAAGAAAATTCATTGGGCTCTGCAGAATGCAGCTTAAAAAACACTGATATATATTTTTTTATATTGCTGATATTATTTTCTCCCAAAATTACTGTGCTCTGGGAGGCAACTTAAGCTAGATGATTATATGTTTACTTAAAAACTATGTGAAAAGATCAGATATAGAGTTAATTTTTTTGATTCCCATCTTCCATTCATCACCACCCCTTCCACCCCCATCACCACTACCCCAGTCTTCTTCTCTTTGGCTACCATCATCTTGTTCTCTATATCTATGGGTCTGTTTCTGTCTTGTTTTGTTTATTCATTTGTTTTGTTTTTGTAGAGTCCACATATAAGTGAAATCATACGGTATTTGTCTTTCTCTGTATGACTTATCTCACTTAGCATAACATCCTCTTGATCTGTCTCTGTTGTCACAAATGGCAAGGTTTCATTCTTTTTTTTTTATTGCTGAATAATACATATATACCAAATCTATATCCATTCATCATCAATGGATGCCTACGGTGCTTCCATATCTTGGCTAGTTCTGGTAATGCTGAAATGAATAGGGGTGCATTGTGCCTTTTCAAATCAGTATTTTTGTTATCTTTGGATAAATATCCAGAAATGGAATTGCTGGATAGTAGCAACTATTTTTTTTTAAAGATTATATTTTTATTGATTTCAGAGAGGAAGGGAGAGGGAGAAAGAGATAGAAACATCAATGATGAGAGAGAATCATTGTTTGGCTGCCTCCTGCACACCTCACACTGGGGATTGAGCCCACAATAGAGCTGGCCAGGCCCTATTTTTAATATTTTAAATTAAATTTTAAACAGGAATCTCCAGACTGTTTTTCATACTGCAGTAATTTCTTTGTATTGCTTGAAGTCTTACATATAGTATTACGTATGTCTCCTTTTCCTCCCATTGACCTTCCCCCTTCCACTCAACCCCCCAGTGTCTGTGTCTTTGGTTATGCTTATATGCATGCATACAAGCCTATTGCATACCACAGTAATTTACAATCCCACACAGTGTATGACGCTTCCCTTTTTTCCACATCCTCGCCAACATTTGTTATTTGTGGATTTATTAGTGATAGCCATTCTGACTGGTATGAGATATCTTGCTATGGTTTTAATTTGCATTGCATTGATGATTAGTGATGTTGAGCATCTTTTAATATGTGTGTAAGTTGTCTATATGTCTTTTTAGAGAAATGTCTATTCATATTCTGTCTATTTTTAAAATTAGATTATTTTTTTTTTGATGTTTAGTTGTATGAGTTCCTTATGATTTTTGGATATAAACCCTTTATTAGATATATGATATGCAAATATTTTCTTGCATTCAGTAGGTTGATTTTTCATTTTGTTGATGCTTTTCTTTGCTGTGCAAAACTTTTTTAGTTTGCTACAGTTCCCGTTTGTTTATATTTTTCGTTTGCTACTCCTGCCTAAGGAGACATATCCTAAAAGATATTGCTAAGAGGGATGTCAAAAAGATTACTAGCTATGTTTTCTTTGAGGAGTTTTATGGTTTCAGGTCTTACATTTAAGTCTAATCTATTTTGAGTTTTTATGTTTGTTTTTTTTAATATGGTGTAAGAAAGTGGCCCAATTTTTTTTTTTTTTTTTGCATGTGTTTGTTCTGGTTTTCCAACACTACTTATTAAAGAGATGATCTTTAATTGTGTATCTTTGCCACCTTTGTTGTAGATTATTTGACCATATAAGCAAGGATTTATTTTTGGGCTTTCTGTTCTATTTCATTGATCTGTATACCTGTTTTTATACCAGTATGATGCCATTTTAATTATTCTAGCTTTGTAGTATAGTTTTTATATCAGAGAGTTTAATATCTCCTATTTTGTTCTTTTTCAAAATGTCTTTGGCATTAGTCCCAGGCTTGAACCTGTCCAAATACTGTAGCTGCTCTCCACAGAAATTAAACATTTCAGAGAGTTATAATTCAGCATAAAAGTCTGAGCGAACAAAGCATATCAACAAAACTGAATAGCTCCCCTATTCCTCTGCAATGCTGACTAAGCCAAGATGCGCAGCTTGGAACCTTGAAAGGGGCATGTTTCTAGGCGTGTGCTGAGAAGAATGACATCTACCACTGCATTACAATGTGGTGCTGAATTGAGAACTTTAATGGAAAACATCCAACCATTCACAACATTTAAAGTTTCAAGAATTAAAAAAAAAAAGTCTTTGGCTATTGGGGTGTTTTGTGGTTCCATATAAATTTTAGGATTAGTTGTTCTAATCGGAGAAGAATGCCATTGGCATATTAACAGGGATATTGGTATATATTTGTTTAGGTAGTAAGGACATTTTAACAATATTAGCCCAAGCATCTATGAGCAAGATATATCTTTTTATTTATTTGTATTTCTTCAGTTTCTTTCTTCAGTGTCTTATAGTTTTCAGAGTACTGATCTTTCACCTCTTTGGTTAAATTTATTCTTAGGTATTTTATGGTTATAAATTAGATAGTTTTCTTAATTTTTTTTCTTCTGATTGTTATTGTTGTATAGAAATGCAATAGGTATCTGTGTTTTGAAACTTTATTGAATTTATTTATTAGTTTGACTAGTTTTTTGGTGGAGTCTTTAGAGTTTTTTCTATATAGTACCACATCATATACAAATAATGAGAGTGTTACTTCCTCTTTTCCAGTTTGTATGCCTTTGATTTCTTTTTTGTTGTTTTGTCTGCTGTGTTCAGGACTTTCAAAACTGTTTTGAGTGTAAGTGGTGATAGTGGGCAACCTTGTCTTGTTTCTGATATTAGAGGAAAAACTTTTAGCTATTTACCATTGACTATATTAGGTATGGGTTTGCCATGTAGAGCATTTATTATGTTGAGATATGTTTCTTTTATACTTTGTTGAGATGTTTTATAATAGAGGATCTTGAATTTTATCAAATGTTTTTTTTTGCATCTATTGAGGTGATCATATGGTTTTTATTCTCTATTTTGTTAATGTAAATCAATGTAAATCTGTAAATCAATCCTTTTGATTGATTTACAGATGTTGAGCCATTCTTACATCCTTGGGATAAATCCCACTTGGTCATGCTATATAGTCCTTTTATTGTATCGTTGAATCCATTTTGATAATATTTTATTGTTAATTTCTGCATGTATGTTCATCAAGGATATTGGTGTGTACTTCTCTTTGATATAAAATTTTTATTAAGATTTTCTCTCTATTTGGAATAGAGGATCTCATTTTTCAATTTTCACAGTGAAACTGAGTACATTATAGAATGAGAAAATTATTTTAATGTTTAATTATATATTATATTATTATGCTGAATGAAGCAAATTTATCTAAAGTGAATTATTATGCTAGTATTAGAGTAATAATTTTTGTGAGTATAATCTCATTCCAGAACTATGTTTAAGTTGTTTTAGATCTTTATAATATTTACATATTTACTTTTTTAATACAACTTGGCGATTTTGTGTGGTAGAGAGACATGTATCCCTAAACTTTGAGTATTGTCAAACTTTTACCACCATCTATCAAATATCTTTATTATTTACGTAATGGAAGGAAAACATTTCTGTTTTTCTCTATTGCACTGCTCATAGGACACTTCTGGCCACAACATTTATATTTATTTTGTTTGTTTCACCAACAGGCAGTTAGTCAGCACCTGCTCAGTCCCACAAGGCTGGCCCCCACATCAGCCAGCAATTGCAAGTCTAGGTTGTCTGTGTTTTTGACCAACTGGCTATAATTGGAGGTTGATATAACCTCTTTTTTGGGTATGATGATTTGCTAGGACAGCTCGCCAAACTCAGAAATGTCCTCTATTTCCTATTATTGATTTATTAAAAATGCATGTGTGTGTGTGCATGTGTTTATTGATTTCAGAAAGAAGAAGGGAGAGAGAGAGAAAGAAAGAGACAGAGAAAGAGACAGAGAGACAGAGAGAGAGAAAAACATCAATGATGAGAGAGAATCACTGATTGGCTTCCTCCTGCACACCCCCTACTGAAGATTGTGCTGGCAAACTGAGCATGCACTCTTAACGGGAATTTAAATCTGCGACCTCCTGGTCAAGGGTCAACACTCAACTACTGACCCATACTGGCTGGGCAAAAAACAACAACAACAACAACAAAAACATACTTTAAAGGATATAAATGAACAGCCAGATGAAAAAATACATAGCAAGCTCTATCAAATCATTCAGCTGGGGTTTTCTATGGAGGTCTTATTACATAGGCATGATTGACTGAACCATGGCTATTAGTGATTAACTCAACCTCTTGCCCCTCTTCTCTCTTGATAGGTGGGGAAGAGGGGGTACAGATAGCATCTTATCACAAGGTTGGTCCCCCTATTAACATCCATTCTAAAAGATTTCCTGAAAGTCACCTTATTAACAAACTCGGGTGTAGATAAAAATGAATTACCTACTTAATAAAAGAGTAACATGCTAATTGACCGTACCTTTGTGATGCCCACCAGCCAGTCAGGAGTGAGTATGCAAATTAACCCAACAAAGATGGTGGGTTAATTTGCATATACAGTAACCAAGTGGCCAGGGGGCATTCTGCACCACCCCAGCTGTTCCAAGCCTTTGGGCAGTGTGGGAAGGCGGCTCTGGGCCAGAGCAAAGGAGGTGCCAGCAGCTTGGGGAAG